GGGGTCTAACCACTGGGGGCGGAGCCGAGATGATGTGTTGGGCTGGGGGTGGGGGTCTAACCACTGGGGGGTGGAGCCTAGAGGACGTGTTGGGCTGGGGCCAGGGTCTAACCACTGGGGAGTGGAGACGGAGAGGATGCGTTGGGTTGGAGGCTGGGTTGAGGAGGGCATCTGTTGGGCAAGTGGCAGGTTCTAACCACAGGGGGCAGAGTTGGTAATGGCTGTCGTCGGGTTGGAGGTGGAATTGAGGAGGAGACCTCTGGGGGTGGTGCCTTCTGCTAGTTGTGTAGTAAGTAGCTAATTGCGATAGGGATGTCATCCACCGGTGTCTGGCCATCTTGTCCCACACTCCCTTGCCCTTTGGGTAAATGAAAAGCTGCCCAGCCATGGCATCTGGACACGTGACCTGTGTTGGTTGGAGTTCACTCCTCATTTCCCTTTGTCCTCCCAGGACCGGGCGGAGCGGGCGGCTCGCTACACGAAGACCAAGGAGGAGATGGACGCCGCGAAGGCAGCTGCTCTGCAGGCCAGGCAGGCTGAGCTGGACGCCAGGAAGGAGTCCTCTCTGAGAGAGAGAAGGTGCAGGACCGCTGCTCCTCGCGTACCGCACACAGCCCGCCTGACCAATGAGTAGTATTGGTCAGAGCGCCTTGAAAAAGAATAATACTGCTGTCGCGTGATCAGGTTGGGAAACGGGTGATCAGTTGGTTATGCCTGGAGAATATGTGTAATACTGTTTGCTGTTGGCGAAGAGCTTAGGGAGCAGGACACATGCAGGGCATTGTCTGATCATTGATATTTCCCCATGGCTTGTGATTTCCCATCACTGTGTTCCTGCAAGAGGTGTTTTTTATTAAATTAAATAACTCAAAACAGGAAGACTGTCGCAGGTCACTGTTTAAAACTGACCAGTGCAATGATGCAATGATACAAGCTGTTGTGGGAAGTGGAGAGTACATTGAGCCCACGTCACCCCCAGTAGTAAGTCCTTGCTTTCCTCTCGCAGTGCGATAGCGAGGATACAGTTCCGGCTGCCCGACGGCTCTTTCTTCACCAACCAGTTTCCTTCGGAGAGCCGACTGGAGGAAGCCAGGCAGTTTGCAGCTCAGGTCTGTGTCTTTGTTCGGAGATTTGCTGTGAGCCCATGACATTGAGGTGCTAGACTGAAGTGGATAATGAAAAACCAGCTTAAAAAAATAAATGCTACGGCACATTAGCAAAGTAGCTGGACTTCTGGGCGATCCTGAGAAATGCAGTCAAATTCTCATTTAAGAGGAGGCAAATATTATGCGATGGGGTTGCTCTGCTACATTTTCAAAGCTTCGACTTTCGTTAAGGGCAGAAGAGCAGCACAGTAGTAGTGGGCTTTGCTGCCTGATGCCCTGGTTTAATTCTGAGCCCATGCTGTCTGTGTGGAGTTTATATGGTCTCCCTGCCCTGTGTTGGCATGGGTTTCCTCCCACAGTGACAGACTGGTAGGTTAATTGGCCCCTGTAAAACTGGCCCTGGTGTGAGAGTGTGCGTTGGTGTCTGTCCCGCAGCGGACTGGTGTCCCTTCCAGGGTGTGCCCCGCCTCGTGCCCGTTGCTTGCTGGGATAGGCTCCAGCTCCCCGGGCTGCGACACTGCACTGGATAAAGGTTAGAGAACGGATGGATGGGCTTTCTTTAAATGTGCGCTTTGATTGTCTTTTCAGGAGGTTGGCAATAAATACGGCAATTTCTCGCTAGCAACCATGTTCCCCAGAAGGGAGTTCACTGGGGACGACTTCGACAGAACCCTGCTTGAGCTGGAGCTCGCCCCGAGTGCCTCGGTCGTGCTGCTGCCGGTGGGTGTGCAAGTCTGGGGGTGCTGGATGATGTTATTTGTTTCCCAGTTTGGTCAAAGTGCGTTTATTAAATTCACTTTGCAGCACAAGTCCCTTGTAACTCTGTGTTCAGGACTTGTGTTGCACTGAACGTCCAAGGTTTAATTAGAAACTGTCAGGAAGAAGCAGCAGAGAGATGGTGTGTAAGACTGAGAGGGTTTGATATCGGTGAATAATCATGTATGGATCCGTTTGTTTAATGTTGTCACATAAGGCCATGTCATTTGTAATTAACCCTAAGCACATAAAAATGTTTAAGAAAAATTCAGCTGTTGTATACCCCCCCAGGAACAGATTTACCATCTATCCCTTAGTTACAACATCATAAGATCTATACAAGAACAGGTTGGGAATGACCCTAGTCTGAGTAAAAGCGTCTGCATTTCAAAGCGTTCCCCGAGGTTGTGTCAGGGGCTCTTCTGAAGCGGCCTGGGGTGAAGTGTGCTGGCCGTGGCAGAGGAGGAAGGGGTTGTGAGAATCCTTTCTGTGCCCTTGCAGCAGACGGGGAGACCCGCGAACACGGTGGTCCAGGCCTCGGGCGGAGGGCTGTGGGCCGTCCTGGGGACACTCTTCTACCCTCTGCTGGCCGTCTGGAGGTTCCTCAGCAGCTTCCTGCTCTCCAGCCCCCCGCCTGCAGGGCCTTCCACGAGACAGGCGCCCCAGCCCTCCACGTCGGCGGCAGCGGAGCCAAAGAGGTGGGTGCGTCTCGGGGGGACCCCGAACCCCCCTCGCCCACCATCGAGGAGCTGGGGAACCAGACCTCTAGCGAGAGTGTGGTGCTGATGCCCCCGGCATTTCGTGAGGAATTAAAGGAATATCTGCTACAGGAGTTTGCCTTCCAAAGGGAATTGATGTTACAGGGCTCCCAGGAAACAGTTGTACAGTAAAAAAAAAAAAAACACTTTTAGGAACTTCGAAGGAATTGTGGATATGTGCTTTTATTAAAATACTTAATATTAAATAGTTATTTTCTGATGTTGCTGTTTTTTTCCTTCCTTTTTTTTTAAATTGTCTTCCCTAGAGAGACAGTCCGGAAAAGAGTTCTGGAAAAACGTACAGAGGACTTTAAAAAAGATGGAAAGATCTACAGACTAAGGACTCAGGAGGACAATGAGGATGATAACAACACTTGGAATGGAAACTCTACGCAGCAGATGTAGCTTGTTGACACCTACTAATGTGCAATAATTTTTCTTAATCTGTTTTGAGTAATTTGTAATACTGATCAGTAAGGGGTGACTTTTCTGTACAGACCTGGAAATGTGTTTCCACCTCCTTTGCATGGGTTAAAATAATCAAGTGACTCTTGGCTGGCTTGAGCACCAATTTCTTTAGTTTTAATTTGACGCTGATTATCTAACTCTTCCTCATTAGAATATAGAGAAAGCCACCGTGCTTCATTGAAATGCCTGCAAACTGGTGATGAGGAGCCTTGTCTGTGTGGGTATCTTGTGAATTGGGTTGTCATTACAACACACGGCACAGAGTTCCAACGGCTGTGGGATCTGTGAAATGCCTGTAAGTGACGCAGCACGTTTCAACCTCCCGCTGAAGAAGACCAGATTGATTCCGAAACCGATGTGAAGGGATATCATTTAACACGTTTCTTTGATTATGTCCCCTTATGCTTGTATAGTCTTCCTGTAAACAATTGGTATCCTTTACAGCTCCATTCAATTATAGAAATAAAAGGTTTTTCAGCAAATCTCTGCATTTGTTTTTACTTGTTCTGATCTAGTTCTTTGAACAGGGCGATCAGGAGCCTACTGAGTCTCAGAGCTCTCCTGCCCGGCTAATGTGAGGTTTGAAATGCAATGGTTTGTCATGATTGTAACTACTGGTCATAACTAATTGGTTCTTGCTTTTGTCAGTGGCAGATGTTGCTCTGCATTTCACTGCAAATAGGCTCTTGAAAAATTTATTGGCAAACATTTTTTTCTCTTTTTATTGTCATAATCTTGCATACCTGAGATTTCAGTCTTAACAGTAGCACAGAGCCATGAGTAGCCAACAGCAGCTGAGATTTCTGTGATCAGAACTGACTCGAGATTCAATGCTGTGCACTTGAATTTTGCAGAGGCACAAATGAAGTTCTTCCTGAATCAACATAAAAATGGTTAATGCAGTTCATAAAATTAGTTTCAAAAACTACAGTACCAAATGTTGTACAGGCTTTAGTGCTTTGAATTACAGACCACTTAGAAAATTAGAAAAATTATTGCCGGTTAACATACCCAGTATAAGATCAGAAATCCTATGGATGGTCTATAGCAGCTTGTTTCTGCTGCCCTGGGTGAGTTTGTTCAGGACAATTTTTTTAAAACTGAGCCTCAAAGCAGGTGGCTAGTCTATATGTGAAAAGCTAAAAAAATGCAGTTTCTTTTAAAACAGGCTAACATTTAATGATGTAAAACTGGGTGCTGAAGAATATTGTTGCCCCTGAGAAATTGCGACTAGCCTGTACCTCCTAAGACAATCAGAGTGTAGACTTGTACAGTGAAAGCTAGAGGCTTGTTAACAGTTAAGAGTGAGAAATAAAGTAACAAGATGTCAACTTTAACAGAAGCACTTCGGTAAGCGTGTAAAAAGAAAAACTGGACTTTTGTGCTGTGCGGATAGGCATAGGCTTTCAAACGACTTTAAACGTTATGAGGTACTCTGGGTAAGCGCCAAAGTCGCAAAATATGACAAATATAAAGGGGGATGCCATTTTGTCCACAGCGCAGTCGCACAGGTCGGAGCAGGGATCGCCGGCGTTGACGGGCGCCGGTTCCTTCATGTCTTCGTGACCTTGGCAGAGTTTTCCTGTCAGCACTCTGGCCCTGTAAATGTATTTGTAGCCCTGCTCATCCGGGTTGGAGTAGGTGTCATCACAGGAGTAATAGGCCTCTTTGGCAAAGTACGTTCCTTGTCCGAACTTTGTAGCTGAAAAAAAAA